TAAAATAATAAAATATGATTTAATTTAAAATAAATAAAAATAAACTTATTTACTTATAATAAATAATTAAATAACATTAATAATCAATATAAAATGAATAAGATAAAATAAAATAAATTTGGGTAAATATATATAACTAAATCAATCATTAAATTAATTAAATAAATGTATAAAATATAAAAATTGATGTAGATGTATAAAATAAAATTGAAGAAACACAGAAGAAAAATAAAATTAAATAAATAAAAAATAAAGACAGTAAATACACAAAATATATAATAATAAAGTGAATGTATAATAAATTAATATAATTAATTAAATTAATTAAGTAAATAAAGAAGATTAAATATGCTCATTAAAAATGAGCAAAATAAATATAATAATAATAAAGTTAATATATAATATATTAATAATAAAAAGTTAAATTAATAAACATAAGTAAAGAAAAAAATATATAAAATAATAAAAAACTGCGAAAAATACCAAATCAAAAACAAAATATTAAAAAAAAAGTAATAGTAATAAAAAAGTAAATAAAATATATGAAACATAATTTATTAAAATAAATTTGACGAATATTAGGAAAATAGAAATAGTAAGAAATAAAAAATAATAAGAAGAAATTATAAAAAATAATAATAAGATTTTATAAAAAATAATAACAAGTAATTAAAAATTAGATGGAATTAAAGAAAGTGAATCAAAAACAAATATTTTACTTTAAATTGACTGAAAAAATCATATTAATTAAATTAGATAAAATTCAGATAAAAATAAATAAATAAATAAAATAGTAAAAAATGATATATGAAATTTGAGTGTGTTTTATATACATATATTTTTTCTAATACCAGAAAATAAAGTACCTCTTAACAAATTTATTTCCCATTTAATCGAATCTTTAAACAACCTTAAAAAATCAAAACAATTTTTATTTTAATAATTGTTTAATAATTATTTTACAATAATTTTTTAATAACTATAAAATTTACAAAAATTATTGACATATGAAAATGTAATAGTATTGTACATCGTTTTATATATAGAAGAATTAATTAACTATGTCAAATTAATGAATAAATAATATATAAATAATTAAAAGATATAAAATATAATTATTAAAAAAACTAATAATAATTTAAAATAATTACAACATTAAAACAAGTTATATAGTATTAAATTAATTTGCTTTAAAAAAATAATTTATCTTGCCATACAATATAGAAACATATAGTTTGTTATTATTAATTTAATATAGTAAATTAAACAAAAATTAAAAATATGTGTTTTTAAATGCACCGATATTTATTAACAACTTTGAGAAATTGGTTTGGAATGTTTAAGTAGTTCAGCATGATAGTTAGTTTCTGCTAATGACACGTTATTCTTACTAACAAGATAATATAGATATCTACTGAAAACTATGTGCCTAATAACTATTATAAATTCACGCTAAGTACTTTTTAAATAATTAAAAAAACATTTTAAATTAAATTTATCATTCTAAGTTTTAAACTTATATAATTTTATAAAGTTTTTATTTAAATTCATATTTTTTATAATTTTATTAATTTATTTATTTTTACAAAATTAAATTTTTATTTTTAACTCAAGTGGTGGTTTTCAATTATCACCGGATTTCCGTCAACGCGCGTCATCAAATGCAAGTTCCTGTGGACGACTTAGTCCAATACCTGCACTACTGGGCTATGAGCCCGATTGGGGTTATCCCGCTGATTATCAAAATTCAACTATGTCGCCAGCACAAGCCAGCACATTGGATCAATTGGCCGGTTCCATGGCGGAGGAGTTGACTTTGCAAAAGGATTTGATGCCAGGGTCAGTTTTTATAATTTTATGTTGTCTTATGTTTTGTATATTTTTATTTTCTATTTTTGTGATATTTAATTTTAAATAATTTAATATTATAAAACTTTAAAGTAAAAATGAAAAATATGTTTGCATGTTTGTAGCTTGTGTAGCATGTATCTAGTTTGGCTACTGCTGATTCTTTATGCGACAGATAAATAAATTGAATTTTTTTAAATTTTTTTTCTTTAAACCAAACGATCATACGGTTGGAGTAGGTTTAGCACTGCCTCAGGCATACCCACACAACCACCACCACCATACCAAGCCCCACAGGTTTATGGTTTGAATGGACCCGTACAACAAGGATATGGTTTACAGGCACAACAATGTTTACTGCATCGTTCACTTACATGCTCTTGCATGCATAATTCACGAGAGGTTGGTTATAAGCTTCACATAATTATTATTATAAGTTTTAATTAATTTTATTTATAATTTTTATGCTTACAGGGCCTTTCACCAAATTCTGTTACAACAACTATGTCACCCGCGTATCCTAATAGTGAACCTTCATCGGATTCTTTAAATACATATAGTAATGTTGTGTTAGATGTTGCTACCGGTGTAACGACTGATAAT